GTGTCATGAGACTATGCATTCTGCAAACACATGAAGCTGCTCTAGTGCAAGGACCTTCCACCTCCCTTCAGATTCCTAATCATGGAAGTTAAAATCCTAATGTACTGCCTGCAAGATTTTAACTTGTTTGTAAGTTGTAGGTTGGGGACAGGGTGTTGTCTGGCCAGGAAATTCCAGCAGAAATTTGTCTATGTTAACAGTTCCTTGCCTGGAAGGACACAATGACATATCTTGTCTAAACTACTAACACTCCTCATACCTGAATTAATTGCCCTTCATTATGGGGTACTTGTTCTGTACTAAATTCTGAGGATTAATTTTCATTGCCAATGTAACTGAATTCAGAATTATGTGGGAATTTAATCACACCTCTACAAACTTCTGCCAGGTTGTTTCCAAGGAATATTGATTAAAGGAGGAAGGTATACCTTGAAGGTGGGTGGTTTCATTCCATGGGTTGGGGCCCCAGATGGAAAAAAGGGAGAGGAGAAAGCTAGAAAGACTCACATTCCCATATCTCTACTTCTTCTTCTGTGGTGTGAGAAGCTTCTACCATTCACTCCCACCACCATGCTGCCCTCTCATGCCTTCTCCACTCTAAAACTGTGATCCTAAATAAGTCATCTGGAAGTTTTCGCCGTAGACGTTCTGTCATCCTGAAGAAATTAATATAGAAACCTCTATCATCTTCAATCTTACAAGAACCCTAAAAATAAAGGTATCATTCATTCCATTTGAAAGATGGATAAATCAAGGCCCAGAAAGTCTGAAAATCTGTACAGTATCATACAAAAAAAAAGCAGAGTGGAAATATTAGTTACACTCTTTTTTCCAAGTGTTTATGTAAGTTGTTTATTAATTTGAGACACTATTTCCTGAAACCCAGACTCTCCTTAAACTCACTGTGTAGCTGAGAATAACCTTAGACCTGCTTCTGTCTTTTATGGGTATGGAACACTATGCTTGTTTTCTTTCATTTTATCTGATATATGAAAACGCTGAAATCTTTGGCTGGGAATGTACTTCAGAGTTGCAATGCTTAGCATGCATAGAGCCCAAGTTGTTCCCTAACACAGAACAAGAACTGTTTTAAAATTCTGTTTAACCCATGGAATATAGCACAGATATTGTTCCTTTTCCATAGCACTTAAAGCAAATGTTTCTCATGTCTCCCATCCCTTTGAGTTTTGCTACTTTACACACTTAAAAACTCCCGACATCACTGAGTAAGTTAAGATTTAAGAATGATTGAAAAGATGTTGTCACTCCTTGCAAGTATTGCATTGATCTTCCCATGGGTATAAAATAAAGAATCCACTAATTCCTATTTTATGGGTTATTACTAGAATTAAATAACATAATTTTAAAAGATCAGATATAATGTAGTCATCCAGAAAAGCCATTTGGATTCCTCTCATAGGCTTTCAACCTTGGCTTCATTTTAAGCTTTCTCAGTCAGTTTATATTTGATCTCAGCTGATAAGAACTTTGCCCCGAATTATCATATCAGCACAGTTTACTCCCTGAAGTAGACCTAGATTACTACATTAACAAAATGCCAACATGCTAGGTATATTTATATATGTATTTCACTATGTATAATTTATCTCCCACACTCTGGATAAGAACTTCTTACCCTCAAGACTCCTATAGTAGAAACAATCAAAAGATTTATATTCTCCAGAGTCCATTCATGTTGTTTTCCAGGAAAGGTGACTGCAATCCCACTAGAAGCCCCATTTGCCTCTGGCTTCCAGCCTGTTAGTTCTCAAAGATGAAACAGAAGCGAGAAATATGTATGAAGGGAGCCCTGGGCCTCAGTGAAAGCATTTTCCACTACTGCCATTGAGGCTGAGAGTTTGATCTTAAGAATACAGTATCTGAGAATGATGTAGGCCAGACAGGCAAACGTCACAGTAAATAAGGTGTGAACCATTCCCCAATACTCTGAGCACCAAGCTCAGACTGAAGGTACTTCTCTCTTATAATGCTCAAGAGGAAAGTCTAAGTCCAGCACAGGCAATTTACAAGATAGATAGGGAAATATTTCTATTTCTGCCGACTGAGTTCTTCCATTTCATAGCAAGGCCAAGCTGGGGATGCCCCTTGGGACTGAGAGGTTGTGCAGAATGCAGGTATTATCAGCCTGTGTGATCTGGAATTATCCTGGTATCATCTCAATGCCCTAAGGCAGAACTGTAGGGAGAAACTGTTGTACATATATACACTCAAGTGGGAAGTATACTCTGCAGAAAGTAGAATTAGAAGTTAAGTCTATAGAAAGATAAGAAAGTTGTTCAATATTTTAAGCTATGCTCTCTGGAAGAAGCAAAGGAGAATCTCAGCCTTAGGGTTTCCTAAGCAAGGAATTTATGGAGGGATGGTTCTCAGAAGCATGGTGAGGGACACAGGAGTTCTCAGGTCACAAAGCTAGCAGGCACATGGTCTTTTTGGGGTTAACCGCCAGATTAACATACAAGGAATTCCACAGCATCAATTAAAGCATAGGGCTCATCTCACATAAAGTAGAGTGGTCAGGGGTTTTTTCATTCTTTCATAACTTCAAGTGTAGTGAGACAGAATTTCCATATGGAGAAGGCTCTTGGTGGCAGAGCACTCTCAAGAGATAGAAGAGCAGGAGCTATTGAGATGGCAGTGCTTGAGGTACCTGGGGGCCAGTTCCACTGGTTGGATAAAATAAATATGGAAAAATGATCAATCAATACTATCATCTCAACTTATTAACTTTCTGCCATATATCTGTACCGTTGTATCTATGCCTCTATTATCTATCTATCCTCTACTGCACCTATCATCTACCTATCATATTTATTTATTATTGATCACCCATCATCTATCATCTTCTATCATCACTATATCTATCGTCTATTTTCTATGATTTATTTATCTATCATCTTTTTGTCTATCAGATATCTATGTACCATATTCTATTTCATTCATCACCTTACATTCTGCATTTGTTTACCTATCTGTTATTCACTCAGGCTTTCCTTATATGTTACCATACTCACAAATTATTTCCATTCGTTTCTATCTTCCTATATTTATCTTTCTAAATGACATTTTAAAAACCAAGTTGTTTAAAATGTAGCATAGTTATATGTATTTTAGGCCCCCTGATGTAGTAAGCCACAAAAATGAAAATTATCATCTCTGGCTTGAGAACACTTTATAGCTTTCCACCCTGTCATATTTAATCACTTGTGTATTTGATTTGCATGGCTTTCTGTCTACTTCTAGTTGCAAAATGAGACTTTTAAAACTCCAAATTTGGTTTCAAAATTGAACCTTCAAAATTAAATACTCTTCCCATATGCCTCAGCCTTCAAGACAGGAATATGTGCATTCTTTACTGCTCTTTCAGACTATCCTCTCTGCTCTTTGAAATGGCTAGAGGTGAGTTGAATTGGATCAGTTGTCCACTGCTACACAATACTGCAAATCAAGCCACTTCCTAAACTACAGTAATGAACACTTACTCAGTGCCCAGTTTTGCAGGTTAGTGTTTTAATGTGATACATTCCTTATGTATTATTGGGTAACAGATTATCTCCAGACTTAGCAGCTTAAAGCAATGCATTTTTGCCTTGTCACAGTTTCTGTAGTTCAGAAACCAGATATAGCATAGCAGGGTCCTCTGGTTCTTGATACAGCTGAGGCTACAGTAGTGGTATCAACATGGAACTGAGGGTGAAGCACACAGTTTCCAGAACCTCCTGGAATTTGCCAGGAAACACCAGTTCCTTTGTATGTGTGCCACTCACAACACAGAAACTAGCTTCTACCACAGTTAACAATAGAGTAAACAAAAACGAAATTTAAGAAAGAACCAAACCTCAGGTTTGTAACATAATCTTGGAAGAAACATTGTGTCAAGTTTGGTACATTCTGATCATTTAGGAGAATCCACTAGGTCCAGCCCATATCCAAGCAAACAGTGTCACACAAGGACGTAAACTGCACCATCAAAGGAAGCCATGCAGTATGCTATCTACCACAGCCATGTTCAGCTGCTTAGATTCTCCTAGAATTGACTGGACTCATCATTCCCCTGTGGGACAGCGGGTATGAAGGGACTCCTTTGTCTCTTTATATTCTGTCCTGGATCCCAGTAGATAGAACGATGCAGCTCACACTCCAGAGGGTCTTCCTTTTACAGCCAAATCTTGAAACACCTTCTCAAACGTCCAGACCTGTGTTTTCCTAGGTGATTCCAAATTCAATCAAGTTAACAGTTGGCAATGAAGCTTAGCCATTGCAGGTGGTGACATTCTTTGAACCTTTCCTAAAAATCCTCTTTAAAATTAGCTGAGGTTGTCATAGTGACGGCAGAACCACAAGGAAACAGACAAATACTCCAATCCTCAAGAGGGTCATCATCAGAACTGGCACAATACGTTCTTGTAGCTCAGGGAATCGTTTTGATAAGCCCATGTTCCAGGTTCAATCCTTGATTGGAGAAGTTGTAAGTCCATTTTTCTAAAGGGCCTGAATTTCAAAAAGACAGGAAAAATGGAGCCACTGATGCACTCAAATGCATGTCAATATTATCATCTCATTATACCAGCTTAAAGCAGTTATCCACCCACCCAATGAGCATTTCCAGTCCATGAATATTCCGTCATTCATAGCCACTCTGTCAATACCATTTCTGTCAGAATTCATGGAAGGATTGATGTACAGTGCTTCCCAGTGAAAGCCACAATGTAATTTTGAAAGAGAAAAATCCTTCATTTGTGTAACAATATCCCTTGAGTTGCTTAGCATTTGATCTACCTGACTCAGGCATATTAATCGCAAATATGCTATAGTTTGGAAATTACCCAGCTGAGTGAGAAATAAAAGATAAGTGTAGCTTGAGAGCTTCCCTCCATGTCCCACAAAGCCCCTGCAGTCCCACAACCCACGTATAAAATAATCACTCAGATGCTTATATTACTTATAAACTGTATGGCCATGGCAGACTTCTTGTTAACTGTTCTTATATCTTAAATTAACCTATTTTTATTAATCTATAAGTTGCCACATGGCTCGTGGCTTGCTGGTACCCTACATCTTGTTTGTCTTGGTGGCAGCTGGCAGGTCTCTCCCCTGTCTTTCTGTTTTTTCTTTCCTCCTCTCTGTTAGTCCCACCTATACTTCCTGCCTGGCCACTGGCCAGTCAGTGTTTATTTATACAGAGTGATATCCACAGCAGATAAGCAAGTGGAGAGATCTGTAATGGTTCATGTGACATCAGCATGAACTAATTTAACATACATATAGATGTGCACATGCAGACATTTTATGTATATAGTTATGAAAAGTATATATAAATCTGCATATAATATAACACATAAATTATATAATATACATGTATTAGAATATACTAGAAAAAATACCATCAAACTAGAAACTAGAAATAAGCACACCTAGCACCTAGATATTGGTTTCTATTTTTATTCTCCAATAAAAAGAATTAAAGTTCCCAGGGAAATTATTGATGTGAATGTGGGACAAGAAAAATAAAAGGTGAACCTAGTTTATATAAAAACCTAAGAGCTGAGGCTAAAGAAATAGCTCAACCATTAACAGGACTCATCTTTCAGAGGACTGGATTTCAACTCTCAAGCACACTTTAGACAGTTCACAGTTGCCTGTAGTTCCAGCTCTAGGGGAACTGACACCATCTTATGACCTCTACAGGGACCTATATGGTGTGTGTGTGTGTGTGTGTGTGTGTGTGTGTGTGTGTGTGTGTGTGTGTGTGTGTAATTTAGGTAGCTTCTCTATAGCCAGTACGAATCCCTGTGTTTTAAGCACAAAGACTATGCCTAATGACTTAAACCTAGAGAGTACAACATGGAGAAAGAAAGAAAGAAAGAAAATTGTACATTTTAAGTGGAGAAATCTGACAAAATGAATTTGAATAAGTTATTAAGGTCAGTTTAAACAATGATAAGCAAGCTGATGAGATTCACCATTAATGTAATGTGAGCATCCTTGTTTATTTCATACAATATATTCTTATTACAGTTCCCCCTATCCCAAATATTCCCACCTCCCCTCCCTCCCAAATCTACACCCTTCTTCTCTTTATCTAATTAGAAAACAAGCAAGTATCTAAAAAATAACAAACAAAATAAAAGATAAAATAAAAGCAAACCAACTGAGATGGGATTAACAAAACAAACAGAAGAAAAAGAGCCAATAAAAAAGCACAAGAACCACATATAAACACAGAGACATGTACATTCATAAACAGAGAAGTTTCATAAAAACACAAAATCAAAAATCATAATGTATACACAGAAGATCTGTATGGTAAACAACTAGATAGATAGGTAGGTAGACAGACAGACGGACGGACAGACGGATGGACGGATGGATGGATGAGTAGGTAAGTTGATAGATGATAGATAGATAGATAGATAGATAGATAGATAGATAGATAGATAGATAGATAGATAGATAGATAGATAAAACAGATAGTAGATAGATAGATAGTAAATAATGCCATGACACAGTATTCTGGGACAAAGAACCTCTAAAAATGTCATTCAGTTTGTGTTTGGCAACCACTGTTCAACAAAGGGCCTACACTTAACATTGATTGTGTACCCAATGAGACTTGGAGAAAACTAATATTTCCTTTGTGAGTGGTTTGTATTTCTTTCATATATATATATATGGAAATTTCTACTGTATTAGGTTTCCTTATAACCCCTCACATGTCCCTTAGTTATGGCTCTCCCTCCCTGAATTTCCCTCCCATATTTCCTCTTCCCTCTGCCTCTGCATCTGATCCTCCAATTCTTGTCCCCCAATTCCCATACATGCACAACTATCTATTCTATTTCCCCCTCCTAGAAAGATCCATATTTCTCTATTCCCCTACTCTCTATACTCAACTACTATGGGTATGTGGATTATAATCTGTTTATCAAATACTTAAAAATTAAAATCTACACATAAATGAATACATAGCACCTTTGTCTTTTGGGGGTCTGGATTACCTCATAGAAGATGATTTCTTTTATAGTTCTATCCATTTATCTTTGAATTTTGTGATTTCATTTTAAATAGCAGAGAAATAATCCATTGTGTAAGCATATCAAAAGGTATATCTACTTTCCATTGACAGATATATATGCTATTTTACATTTCTGGCCTTTTAAGAGAGCATCAATAAACATGGTTGAGCAAATGTCTCTGAAGTAGGATGTAGAGATCTTTGGATATAATGCCCAAGGGAGATATAGTTGGGTCTTGAAGTAGATCTATTCTCAGCTTCCTGAGGAGCTACTACATTGATTTCCATCATGGTTATACAAGTTTGCACTCCCATTAGCAACAAATGAGTGTTTCCCTTTCTCCATATCCTGACCAACATGAGATGCCATGTATTTTATTAATACTGAGCATTCTCATTGGTGTGAGATGAAATCTCAAAGTGGTTTTGGTTTGCTTTTCACCGAGATTAAAGATGTTGAAAATTTCTTTAATGTTTCTCATCCATCTGTGCTTTATCTTTTGAGAATTCTGTTTAGATCTTTACCCCAATCAAAATTCTTCACAGAAAAGGAAAAAACAATTTTCAGCTTTATACGGAAACACAAAAATCCAGGATAGTTACAACACTCATTAATAATAAAAGTACTGGTGGAGTTATCACCATCTCTAATCTCAAATCATACTACAAGAGCTATCATAATAAAAACATCATAATATTGGCCTAAAAATAGACTTGTTGATTATCAGAATCAAATTGACATTCCAAACATAAGTCCACATATAAATGAAAATCTGATCTATGATAAAGAATTTTTGCATCCATGTTCATGAGGGAAACTTGTCTGTAATTTTCTTTCTTTGGGGGATTTTATAAGGTTTAGGTATCAGAGTAATAGTGGCCTCATAAAAAAAATTGGGCAATATTACTTCTGTTCCATTTTGTAGAATAATTTAAGAAGTATTAGCATTAATTCTTTTTGAAAGTCTGGTAAAATTCTATGCTCATACTGTCTTGCCCTGCCCCCACACAAGTTGGGAGACATTTAATTATTTTTTCTATTTCACAAGTGTGTATAGATCTATTTAAATTGCCTTTCTGAACTTGAGTCAACTTTTGTATGTGCTATCTATCAAGAAATTTTTCAATTTAGTTTATATTTTCTAATTTAGTGGTGTACAGGTTTTTAAAGTACATCTTCATGATTCTATGGATTTCCTCAGTGTCTGCTATTATGCCCCCCATTTTCCCCTAATTTGACTAATTTGGATCATCTCTCTGCCTTTGTTTAATTTGGCTGAGGGTTTGTCAGTGTTCTTGATTTTTTTCAAAGAGCTAACACTTTGTTCTCTTTTTTTCGTTGATTCTCTTTAGTGTATGTGTGTGAGTGTGTGTGTGTGTGTGTTACCATTTTATTGACTCCATTATTGAATTTGGTTAATTCTCACCATCTGTTTTGGGGGGGTATTATTTCTTCCTTTTGTTCAAGAGCTTTCAGGTGTTTTATTAACTTACTAATATGAGATCTTTCCAATTTTCTAAGTAGGCACTTAGTGCTATTTATTTGTGTCTTAGAACTGCTTTCAAGGTGTCCCATAAGTTTGAGTATATTGTGTTTCCTTTTCACTAAATTTTAGAATCTTTTTTAAACTTCTTTTCTCCTTCCTGTCTTGACCCATTTTCCATTCAGTAGTGGGTTGTTCAGTTTCCATGGGTTTGTAGGCTTTCTGTGGTTTCTGTTGTCGATATTCAGCTTTAATCCATGTTCAAATCGAATTCAGGGAGTTAGTAAAATTTTCTTGTATTTGTTGAGCCTTGCTTTGGGTCCATGTATGTGGTCAGTTTTGGAGAAAGTTCCATGAGCTACGGAGAAGGCATATTCTTTTGTGTTTGGGTGGAATTTTCTGTAAACAACTGTTAGGTCCATGTTATGACATAATTTGGGTCTAGCATTTCTCGGTTTAGTTATTGCTTGGATGACACTTCAGTTGGAGAGAGTAGTGCAACCCACCATCACTGTGTCAGTGGTGACACACTATGATTTTAGCTGTAGTAGCGTTCCTTTTATGAACTTGGGTGCCCTTGTGTTTGGTGCACAGATGCTAAGATATGTAGTATCCTTTCTGTGAATTTTCCTTTGGTGAGCTTGTAATGACCTTTCCTATCTCTTCTGAATAGTTTTGGTTTGAAGTCTATTTTGTTAGATATTAAAATGGCTACATAGGCCTGCTCCTTGGGTCCACTTGCTTGGAAAAATCTCTTTTTCACTCTTTTACCCTGAGAGGATGTATATCCTGATGTTAAGATATGTTTCTTGAATGCAGCAGAGGGATGGATTCTGTTTTTTAATGCAATTTGTTAGTCTGTAGCATTGTATTAGGGGACTGAGACCATTGATGCTGAGAGTTCTCAATGTGCAGAGTTTATTGATTCTTATTTTGATGTTATGATGCAGGATTTCCCACCCACCCCCATTCTGATTTGATGGTCTGAGATGATTTATTCCTTGTGTTTTCTTGGATATGGTTAGCCTCTTCAGGTTAAAGTTTTCCATATAGCACCTCCAGTAGAGCTGTATTTATAGATAAATACTGCTTAAATTTGGTTTTATCATAAAATGTTTTTCTTTCTTCATTTATTGTGATTGAAAATTTTACTGACTATAGTAGTCTGGGCTGGCATGCATGTTCTCTCAGAGCATGTAGAACATCTACCCCAGTTTTTCTGGTTTTAGTCAGAAAAGTCAGATATCATGCCAGTAGGTCTGCCTTTATGTATTCCTTGGTCATTTTCCCTTGCATCTTCTTATAGTCTTACTTTGTTCTGCACATTTAGTGTTTTGATTATTGTATGTCTTGGTAAATTACCTTTTTTGATGCAGTCTATTTGGTGTTCTGTATGTTTCTTGTACTTAGGTAGGCACCTGCTTCTGTAGATTGGGTATATTTTCTGATTTTTTAAAAAATATTTTCTATGTCTTCTTCCTCTGTTCCCATTATTTATAGTTTTTTTTTGTTTTTAGTGTTTTTGTTTGTTTGTTTGCTTGTTATTGTCTTTTCATAATGTCCCAGATTTCCTGCTTTGTGCTTGGACTTTTTTCAAAATTAACATTTTCATTGACTGAAGTATCAATTCCTTCTGTCTGGTCTTCAATGCCTGGGATTCTTACATTTCTTGTTTTCTGTTGGTGAAGATTACCTCTGAGGTTTTGTTTGACTAAGATTTTCATTTCTAATTTTACTTCAGTTTGTGTTTTCTTTTTCTTTTTGGTTGTTTTCTATTTTTTTTTCTTTTTTTCAAGACAGGGTTTCTTTGTGTAGCCCTATCTATCCTGGAACTATCTCTGCAGGCTTGACTAGCCTCAAACTCATAGAGATCTACCTGCTTCTGCCTCCCGGGTCCTGGGATTAAAGGTGTATGCCACTACTGCCCCGGCTCAGTTTGGGTTTTCTTTAGTAACTATTTGTACTTTCATGTCTTCAACTGTCTTCTTATCATTCCACTGTTTGTGTCTTCATTAATGATTTTATTCATATCCTCCTTAGGGTCCTTAAATATATTCATAATAGCTGTTTTGGAGTCCTTGCCTTGTGCTTCAACTACATTACATGTATCGGGACCTACTGTAGTAGGGTTGCTGGCTTCTGGTGGAGACATTATCCTGGCTATAATTGATTTTGTTTCCACACTGGTGTCTAGTAGGCATCTAGGTTTAGGATGATTGTAATTCTAAGTGTTGATATCTGGTCTTTTTTTGTTGGGTGAGTGTTCTCCCCCTTGCTTTCAATTTTCCTCTCTTGAATTTAGGAGAGTATAGTGGCTCTTGGTTGCCTGATAGGGAGTACATTTGAGGCCCCGCCACGAGTAGACTCGGGGTCCTGGACAGTAAGTTTTTCTAGGTCTTGGTAGCCGACATGAAGGAATGGGAATGGTGTAGAAGGGGGTAGCTAAAAAGATCTACAAGAGGGAAAAATATCTGGCTCTGCCTTGAGTATTCTCCAAGTCCCCCAGAAATGTATGTGGAGAGAGCAGACAAACTCATACAGGTGATCTGCTACAGGGCTGAGGATGACCTAGGAGGACTAGAGAACAGGAGGGAAGGTAAAGATTCTTGTCTTGGTTTGAATGAGAATGGTCCCCATAGTTTCATATATTTGAAAGTCATCAGTGAGTGGAACTACTTGAGAAGGACTAGGAAGTATGGTCTCATTGGAGGAAATGTGTCACTGGGGATAGGCTTTGAGGTTTCAAAAGCCCAAGTCTGGTTCAGTGTCTCTCTCTTCCTGCTGCCTGCAGATCTTGATGTAAAACCCTCAGCTACTTCTCCAGCATGTCTACTGGCATGACATCATGATTCCCACCATGATGATAATTGACTAACCCTCTGAAATTGTAAGTAAGCCCCAGTTAAATGATTTCTTTAATAAGAGTTGCCATGGTCATGGTGTCTCTTCATAGTGTAGAAAACTGACTAACATAATTGCCTACCTGATTCCCAGGCTTCATAGCCAGTGGGTTCCATAGTAGAGAGTGCTTCCAGGTCTTAGAGGTTAACACAAAGGAATGGAGTGAGGGAGGAAGGCTAAGTGAGAAGATCTATGGAACCCCAGGGAATAGAGGCAGAGAGAAAGGAGATGCCCCACCAGGTGTTCTGCTATAGGACTGGAGGTAAGATTGAGAAATTGGAATTGAAAGATATGAAGGAGAATGAAGATCGCCTACCTGATTCCTAGGCTGGCATGGCCAGTGGGCAAGTACCATTTTTATAATATAAGCACCATTGATAAATGTGACACCATGGATATAATATAAGAGAGGAGTGCTTGGGTAAAGTAGATCTTCCTCCCTCAAACATGGAGTATTATTTTGATCCTCAGTTTCACCTGATTCTATAGCTTTTTGTTTCAGTGAGCAACCAGGAATTTTAAGAAGACATTTTATTCAATTTCCTACCATATTGACCTACCCACTTACATCTTTATTTTATTTTGCCCATATGCCAAATGTGTAGTTGAATTTATTCCCTATATCAACCCCAAATAATACTACTTTTATTATAGCTACAAACACCATTATGGGCAAAATCACCATCATCTCCCACTTGACTAAGTTAGTTTTGTAAACTGCAAGATCTATCCCAAACATCTGTGTCCACTTCAGTCTGTCCTCAACAGAGCTGTGTTCCTTTTCTACAAGTCTGATTATCTCTTTCTGGTCAGATTGCCCAAGGGTCCCATCTTGTTCAGAGATGAAACCATGGTTAGAAGCCTATAGATTTGTTTTGGTCAAGTTTTAGCTTGATAATAGTGTCAGTATCTCTGCAAGAATTAAAATGTTCTGACTTCCTCTACTAGATAAAGCACTATACCAAAGCAAGCCACACAGTGGCAAGGGAGCTGATGGGATCAGACCACACCACCATCTCCCCAACCCCTCAAAACACATCACACCAGCTCCCTCAGTGGCTATCTCTGGACTGTGCACACAGTGCAGTTGTTCATCTCTTTTCAGGCTGGGTGTCTCTCATTGCTTCAATGTTATTATTCCATGACATTTTCTACATGTTCACCCTGTCCAATCACATCACCCTTTTTGATGCTTCTTGAAGGACAGCTACCCACATACATTTCTCCATATATTTTCTACAAGGTTGACTCCTCCCTGCTTTGGGTCTTGGTTTAAAACGCCACATTTTAAATGAGAAAATTTCACTAGCTCCCTATTTCATACTGTACTCATTTCTTTTCTACTACCTACCAGATTCCTGCTTATTTTCTTCACAACAGTAGCCATCTAATATGGAATATTTCATTTGTTGTATATGAGCCTCCAACCTAAAGAAATGTTTCACATGAAAAAGAACTTTCATTGTTAGCTCTGTGGCCCCAAGACCTAGAGTTCTACCTGATACACATTGCAATAATTCAAACACTGTGCCATAGATGGAAAAGTTTTAATGGAATAAAGATTATGGTAATTCTTTTCTCTGGCTCAGTTCTCCTCCACTAGGAAGCAAAATTTCTTTTCTTCTTAGTGTCCAGTTTCATCTGAATATATTTTCTTGAGCTTTTCCAAATCCTTATTTCTTATCTGTCATAAATATTCACCTCACATATTTTCTTGTCTCCTAAAGAGAATATCTTGATCTATCTTGATTCCCCAAACTATTTAATGGAATATTCCATTCAAATAAACATTTAATCAGCAAATAATGGAGATAGAAAAATTTATTTTTTTAATCTCAACACTCAACACATACATGTACATGTGGTATCCAAAGACACTAAGAAGTATAAGAAAATGATATCTGAAGATGATTTCAAAATGCCAAAGTAGCCTCAGTGAGTAATACATACAGAAATTGTTTCTGTTGTTGTAATAATTAAACATACAGCAAGACTAATTGCTTTAATAGGCATTTAACCAAAATAAACCAGTTTCAAAGAGGAAAGATGCATGCTCCTTCCTAACAGAATTAATTGAGCTTTCTCCATGGCTATAAAATGTTAAATAGAATTGTGAGCTCCTTACTATCTATGGCAAATATAATTTTATTTTCTTACCAAGTACTATAGTGTTATTTTCATAGCAATATCTCATGGCTACACAATTTTGGCTTAACTTTATTGATCTCTTTCTTATTTACAATGAAACAAACCCATTTTTTATAGAAATATGTCATCCGATGCTCATTGTTTGAGCTCAGCTGGAAAATTAAAAGGGAAACTGAATTTTGAGGAGAGAACAACACCACCATTTGGGATGCTCTGGGAACATGTCTCAAACATACAAGGCTGGACCAATTAGATTTCAAACTCTGAACTGTGTTGACCTCAAGTTGAGGTCTAGAAATAACACAGGAGAGTTTGAGAGCTGGTCAGTGTAAGACTAGAAGTGGTGCTTGCCATATTCGTGGCATGCCTGTGCCATTATTTCTAAGAGTTAGGATGGCAAATTTTAAAAGCTATTTCTGGTTTCAAAGATACAGTGTTGTCATAGCAGTGCAAAGCATACAAGGAAGAAAACTATTACCTCCACACCAACTCTGGAAAAGGGTGATTCCTTGGCTTGTATCAGTTACAAACATGCACAATGGCAATAAAGCCCACAAACAGCTCATTTCTATACACTAGATATTCAATTGTTCAACATGTTTGACACTTTAGATTGGTGTCAACTTACTCCAGTGAGACCTTCATCCTTAAAAGCTCTTTGCATACTCAGAGAGGATTTCTTGAGGCCATGGAAGTAGCAAAATATGTTAATTATCTTTTTTCTAGGGGGTGTGTGTGTTTGTTTTTTGTTAATTATCTTAAGAAACATACTCTCAAAGGGGGAAAAGGGTTATCTACTAATTTGATTACATAGATGTCCTGTTTTATCTTATCCAGCGACTCTTCATACTGACTGCCACTCTGAAAAATAGGTTAAATCTCTTCTCTTCCTTCCTCTCTTTACCTCTATTATTCCTATCTTTCTATCATTCTCTCTCTCACACACACACACTCTCTTTCTTTCAATAAATTAATCTACTGATTGCTCCAAGGGCAGAGACAAACACAGAGTATCTAGTCATTAGAAAAATCACAGAAAATCATCAAAAACTCAAATCCAACTCTTCAGCTCTTATTCCTCTGGGTAGACTACTTTCTTCACAGTCTTCTCTCCTTTCTGCTGAGGTGATGGAATTTGTCAGGGCTGCCTGCCTCCTCTTCTAACAGACACACAAAGCTGGTTAACATCAATGTCAGTGGAAATTGGGGATGTCACTATATTTCCTAAAGGTTATCTTTACTGAGCTTAGAAAGTGGTGCATACAACATCTCCTGGGAGATGTCATAATGATCCCTACCATAGTTTCTAAGGAATCTCACAATCCTTCTTAAATTGGATATAACCTTACCATTCTTATACTTTTTTTTAACCAAGGCCTTCTTTCCATAGAAGAATATTTCTGTCTTTGGTGAATGGACCAGAAATCAAAGGATAATATAAGAGAAAGACTTTTTTACTCATAACAAGATGAGTAATAGAGCATCTTGAGCAGAAGAAAGCACACTCTTAGGATTTCTGAGGCTCACCTCACTGCTTCCTGAGACATGACAAGACATTAAGGTGAGCTAGAAGGCTTGCACACTAAGACAGGTGAGCAATCACATATTGTATCGGGGTGGCAAAGGTGAGGATGATAGGAAGGGACCCATTTCCAGATGCTATTAGAAGACAGCGCTTCCCAAGCTTGTACATGACTGAATACACAGTATAAGAGAGCTGACACCTCAATTCCAGTTCCTTTCTCAGTTGCAGAAAATGGAAGATTCTCTGCTGAACAAATTTAAGTATTGTGCCATAATTGGTGACTGTTGGAGGAGAATTATAAACATCAAAAATAAGAAATTAATATTCAGCAAAGCCACATTTTCTATCCTCCCTCTCTTTCCCCTTGAATGTAAGCTAACCCAATCCTTTGCTTCTGAAATCAAGCTGTTCATCAGAACTTAAAAGGTAGATTTAAGTTCACCATGGTTCTCCCAAACTAATGACATAAATAAACTCCCAGTTGGATCAAGGTGATGGTGTTCTCAAGTCCCAGCAGGTAATCAAAGTGTGGAGCAAAAGTAGATGATCATAGGCTCATGGTACTGGTGGTTTGTGTATGAAAATTGTTGTGCAGGCATTTATTGTGAGATAAGAATTCCATCTTCCAAGGAAGTTTGTGAAAACATGGGATGTTATAAGAGGAAGAGAAGCATTCCATTCTGTAGGGAAGCTTATTAAGTTCAGGAAGTAAACAACTTAGTATCTTCAGGAAGTCCCTGAAACTGAGTAGTTACATGAAGCCCTTTCATCTGAAGCCTATATAAACAATGAGGGCAACTGAGAGAACTGGAGGACACTGCCCAACATTTACGCAGCTCACCAGTTTGGAGGGGGTCCTTTCCAAGAAGCATAGTTTATCTGACATATTTCTACACAGTTTGACTGGGTCTTGTTTCTTTAGAAAGCTCAGTTTATCTGAGAGCGACTACCCTGACTTTTTTTTTTAACCTGAGTTCTGGTGCTTGGGATCATGCTGTGATATTTGCAAGGCAAACACTTTAGTAATGGATCCATCTACCTAATCCTCCGGTTCTTTGCTTTTGTACAACTACAAGGTCTTAGAGAGAGGGGAAGTGGTAGGTATTGTAGGTGTATGGGTAGGTATGCAGAAGTGTGTGTGTGTGTGTGTGTGTGTGTGTGTGTGTGCGCGCGTGTCACGTGTTTACACAGGGCTCTCCTATTTATCCAAACTGGCATATTTGTGTATGGATTTCACTGAAAGAGGTTTAAAG